GGTGTGTGTTAAGAACCTTAACTATTATAGCAATAAAATAATGTATGATACATTGTGATTAACTGTCACTAATCCAGTGCAACAAATCACTAAAAAAAAGTAGCTCACTAAAACCTATTCCTCCAGTCTAACTCAAATTTTGTACTCCTTAATCAATATCTTCCCTTTTCCCATTGCTCCACTTTTTACCATTTCCTCTTCTTAATCTCTAGTAACTATCTTTCTACTCCATTCATCTGAGATTAACTTTTTTATGCATATAAAACAGATCATTCAGTGTTTGCCTTTCTGTGCCTGGCTTATTTATCTTACTATAGTGTTCTGCATTTTGTTTTTAGGGCTATATAATATTCTGTTATGTACATCAACCATATATATTCATTTATTGCTTGATGGCCACAGGTTGCCTCCATATATGGCTATTGTGAGTAATGTTTAAATGAATATGGGAGCACATGGCTGTTCAACATACTGATTTCAGGTTTTTTTAAATAGACAAGGTGCAATTGAAAAATACAGTATTCAGATAATTCATTATAGTAAAGACACTCTATCTTGATCTCCTTTAAAATACTTCCTCTTAGGGCTTGGGGGTATAGCTCAGCAGCATAGTGCCTGCCTTGCAAACAGGAAGTCCTGAGTTTGATTTCTGGTTCAAAAAAAAGAAAAGGAAAGAAAACCTTCCCTTTGCTTCAAACATACTTATCCTATCATTCTTGTCACTTTCTGAAGCAATTCTGGAAGTCTTTTTCCATAAATGTTTTTAGTTGTGGTGTCATATCTACCTTGTTTTCCTGCATTGATTGAAAATGTTAACCTTTTGAGGTCATTTTGACTTTGAAGAGAGCCAGAAGTTGCACGGTATCAGATCTGGTGAATAAGTTGGATGAGTGCACACCACAGTTGATTTTACAAGCCTGCTTTTTCACCTGTGGCACTTGGCAGCAGCATTCACCCTACTTGTGATCACACCTCATCAAGGCACTTATGAAAGAGGACTTCCTGAACTGCTTCACAAAGTGATAAAAATAAAAAACCATGGCATAAATGTGTTGGAAGAAAGGGAAAATGGCAGGATTGATGGCAATGTGTTTTTGCAATATGTTTATAAAATTTAAATATTTGTTGTTTATTTTAATCATCCCTTTTATACCCAGAGGTGAGATTACTGGGTTACAAGGCGCTTCTTTTTTAATTTTTTGATGAACTCTCATACTTTTTCAAAACTGCCAAGTGCATACAAGGGTTCTCTTTTTTTTTTGCGAACACTTGTCACCATTTTTCTTTATTATAATAACCAGTCTAACAGGCACGAAAAAGTATCTCTTTGAAGTTTTAATTTAGATTTTCTTGATGATTAGCGATTTTGAACATTTTTAATGTATAAAATTACCATTCATATCTGTTTTTTTAGAGAAATGTCCAGACCCTTTGCCATTTTTAAAATCAGGCTATTTATTTTCTTGCTGTTGAATGGTTCACATTCTTCTGAGCTAGTCATATGAATGTATTTTTAATTTTTTAAAGTAGATGAAATTGTAAAATGGATTTTATGTGGCTTGCCATGTAACATACTTGAAATATTCTTTCAATAGAAAAATGCAGCCAGTATAAAAGAAAATGGTACAGATAGTATTTTCAGGAGTGGGCAGGGTATCTAGTCTCATATGACTGGATAAAAGATAGTTATAAACACCATTCTTCTTTTCCATAAGATTATGTGCTTATATGTGGGCATGGTAATCCCAGCATTTGAGAGGCTGAGGCACAATGATCACTGCAAGTCTGAAGCCAGCCTGTACTATACACTGAGAACCTATCCAAAAAAAAAGGTAGATTGTGTCCTTATATTCCCAAAGAATTTCAAAGAAAGTGAGTGCTTTTTCTTTCAGGTAGAGTATATGTATATTTTCAGATAATTTCTAAAAATGTAAAGTAATCTATACATAGAGACTATCTGTTGAGTGTGGGATAACCTTGAGGGTAGTGTCACAGACATAACTCTTATTCACCCATAGAGGATGAATATAATAATTTTTACACTTACAGTCAATAAGAGAAGAAGGAATATAACTGAGTGAGAATCATAAGAGGCAGGGAGAGGAGAGATATAGAAAGGTCCTAACATTTATTAAAATATTTTATAATGCTTGGGTTCATTTCACATGTTGTTTCATTTAAGGTAAATATGGCCATAGAGAAGAAGATTGCCTTGGAAGACTATTGAACTATTAATTTGAAAATAGCAGGAGAAAAAGTTTGATTTGTATGTTTTACATAATTTTGTTGGCAAGACAGATATAGAAAACTGTTATTCCAGACATTTCTCCATTTTGGCCATGAGGTGGTGATGTTGTATGAAGACAGCTTGGTTGCTGGCTGTCAAAATTTGGTGTGGTAGTACCTATATATATTTAACAACTAAGACCAAGGGTATCAATTATTTTTTATATTGGCCTTTCAACTATGTAGTATATTTGTAGTGATTTTAGTAAACTTTATATTTAAATTGTGTAACCTAACCTGAAGTATGATGATAAACTGTGCCTGATGATAACTGTGCCTGTCAATGATGATAAATTATATGGGATAAATAGGTAAACAGATCTCCCTCCTGCCTTGTAAAAAAATTCACATACCAATGCAAAATAATTTATATAAATTATGTAGCTAAGAAACACTGAAAATATATTGAGTAAAATAAAAATTTACATGTCTGTAATGTGTTTACTCTTCTGTTGCTTAACGCATAGATAGCATACACAGAAGTTGGGCTAAGAAGAGAAAACCACTCAGAAGTTCCTCTCATCTATGACTAATCTTTACATTTTACTGGGTATAGTTAACCCACTTCCCTTGGATCTTCTTCCATTCTCTTCTGTGCCTCATTACCAACTCTCCATATTTTCAAAATCAAAACAATTGATGGGTAATGTATTTTTTTGTTATGGTTAAAATAATATGGTTCTTTCTCTCAGATTTGAAGTTTGTGCCTCCTGAATTAGCAGGATCTGCGTAACTGGAAGAAGATAGGTCTTTATTATTACCAAGCTGGAACTCTTAGCACAACTCTTGTAGAAATGGTATTTTTGGTGATCACTAAATAAAGTTAAAGTGGTATCACCCACAGCCATAATTTTAAAAATCAGACTTCTCCTTTCTGGATTTTTGGGCTCAGTTTTTCATATTTCAAGAGTAAATGATCTGGAAACACATTTTCAGTTATGCATAACAAGAATTTTCAAACTAAACATGAGTTCTTCCTTATAACATACCTTATTTTCTCCATCTAAAAGCAATATACAACTGCATATTCTAGAAGTTCTCTTGAAGTCTTTTTTAAAGACCCAAGTTCTACCTTATGTTAATGGTATATGAATTTTATCACCTCAAACTATATTTGTATGTTTAAGGTAAACTTTCTTGTTTAGCTTTATACCTGTTGTTGACAGAATCTTATGGAGTGCCTTGTATATAAGTGCTCAATAAAATATATCAGCTGTTTGAGGAAGACTTTAAATGCTTAATAGCAAGTAATATCTTAACATAATTAGCTATGATTGAAAATTGCTTTTAACATATAAGCTTTACACGTAAGTTGTTTAAATTGGCCATTATGGTGGAAGAACTCCTGTGACTAGTTGTTTGATTTCTGATAAATGGTTATAAAGCAACACTAGTTTTATTTTAGAACTCAGAATAGGGCATTCTTTCATACCTATCTATAAAATTTAGTGCACATATCAGTTAGTTTCACTGTAATGGTCCAGATTACGATTCTTTTGAGAGTCACTGACACTGTTGAGAATCTAATTAAAGCTATTCCCTTTCTACTCAAATCCCAGAAAAATGCACATATATTACAAAGATGATTCTTTATACTGTTTTAGAGAGTTCATAAACCTTGTGTTAGGAACCTTTGCTTTAGATTCTGAGATAGATTGCAACTGACTGGTCAAGAAACAGCATGACATAGTAGAAAAATGTACTATATATAAAATCATTTGAAAAATACAATCAGTTAATCTGAGTTCTAGCTGCTTTGTATTTTTAATAAATGTGACCTCTTTTGGAAAGTTATTTAACCCCTTCTTGCCTATAAAGTTGGATTAAAGATAAAACAAATTAGCATTTACACTATATTTAGAATAGTACTGGATACATAGTATACTTCTAACTTTTGTACCCAGTTTTTAGTTCTACAGTCTTATAAAGGATTTTTAAATTTTATAATAATGCTGGTGGTCTAATTATCTTTTAATTGTATATTTATTTATATATTGTCCTTACAGATTTCCATACACTTTTTTGTCTTTTTTTTTTTTTTTTTTTTTTGAGACAGGGTTTCAGTATGCAGTTCAGATTAGCTTGAACTCACTTTGTACCTTTATGAACTTGAATTTGCAGCAATCCTCCTACCTCATCCTCCCAAATGCTGGGATGACAGGCATGTGCTACCACACCCAGCCTATATATATATATATACGTATATATATATATATAACTTGGGTAACAATCAATATATTCTGTTATCCTACATGGCAAGTTGTGAACTATGTCCTAATATTTTGGTATCTCAGTGCAGATGGTAGTAGGTGATGTTCCAGAAACAGCTATCTTACTGCAGTTCTGTAACTGAAAATCCCAAGTCAAAGGAAATTGTACGTGTGAGTGTATAAAAATAGCTAGAGAAAAGGCAGTCAGAAAATCTACTTCAAGATATTGAAGCACATTGGAATATGTCACCCAGGTATATTGGTGTATTCATGAAGCTTATTAAAGAAAATGAAGTTTTTCCTTATAATTACACTTGCTAAGAACTGTGATCTTTTTGGAGATTGGATCTCTTATATATACTGAAAGTCTATTATTCTTTATGTAAATCTTTTTACAAAAGCAAGATTCTCTTAATGTCTGTGGCACCCCAAGCAGGTTATGATAAAAATATGTAACCATGTATTATCCAGTAAGATAAACAGTTTTTTTTTTATTTTAATCAGGGAAGAAGACAAAGACATATTTGATTACTGCAGGGAAAACAACATTGACCATATAACCAAAGCCATTCTATCAGAAAGTGTGGATGTGAATATGAAAGATGAAGAGGTATGAAAAATATGTCCTATTAATTATTTTGATTTCATATAATTCGATACTATGGCCTGATAGCATTATAAAACACAGTAGTTAGCCAGGTGTGGTAGCGCACTCCTGTAATACCAGCACTTGGGAGGCTGAGGCAGGAGGATCATTGAAAGTTCGAGACCAGCCTGGGCTACAAAATGAGCCCCAGGCCAGCCTGAAATGCACAGTGAGACCCTGTCTCAAAAAGGCCAAAAACAAAAAAAAAGAAAAACTAGTTTAATTTCTCTTATGCTTTGTTGTTGTGTCCCATTGCCTTTTTGTACATGGTGGGCCTTTGAACTACAGCTCAAAGTACAATATGGTTAAGAGCACATTGGAATATGTCACCCAGGTAAAATACTTTTTGTGTTTAAATCTAACATATTTCTGAGCTGGGCATGATGGCGAATGACTGTAATCCCAGCACTTGAGAGTCTGAGGCAAGAGGATTACATTGAGTTTGAGGCTATCCTGACTGTATAGTGAGTTCAAGGGAACTCTGGACTATAAAGCAAGACTCTGTCTAGAAAACAAAATAATAAAAAGTCTAATATATTTCTAGTCAGAATAGTAGAGATTACTACTGAAATGTGACGTAGTCAGTTATTCCATTTATGATAAAGGGAGAGACTTGACGTAATAACTAAAATCTGTAGGTGATAACAAGAATCTCATTCATATAGAGCTATGTGTCCTTTATTCTTATAACATAAATAGGTATATTCTTTGTTCAGTAAATAATTTTTAAAAACCTGTTAGGATTTTGGTAAATCCAGTGGTTTAAAATCGACTCACTATAAAGAGACCCTGTACTAAATTAGTTTATAGAATATATTACTTTGTAATTTACTTGTTTTGTGAATAAAATTCTGTACATACTGAACTTAAACTGCCCCTGAATTATGGTCATAGACCAAGGAACAAAATTTACCAATTTACTTTTAATAATTTTTCTCAATCTTTAGTGATCCTGTGCAAGATTATTGAAATAGCCAAAAGGTGGTAATTGTTAAAGATTGATCATAAGTAATCTGTCAAATAACAAGCTTATGTATAGTAAAAACTCCCTACACAAGTTAGCCTTCAATAATATCTCACCTTTTTCCTATATTACATTATCAGTGGCATCTGAAATTGAAAATGCAAAGTTATAATACTACAGTAAAGGCAGGCCAATAATACTGGCTGTTCTCCACTAAATAATGAAACAAAAGGAGTCAAGAAAATTGTGGCTATGCACAACTGTTTTGAAGAAAATGATAACCACTGTTTATTTCTTGCTGTTTTTTTCTGAAATCTTGTTTTTTGCATTGTTTTATTCTGCTTTACTTTGTTCTGTTTTAGTTTGTTTTGTTTTATTCTCTTTAAAATTTAAAAAGAAAATAAAATTATGGCGAGAGAAAGTAGAAACCAAATTTTGAAAGAATAATTCCACACCTTCCCATTAGGATTTGTGTGTGTGCATGTGTGTATTACTTTTGTTTTCACTTTCCAAAAAAATTTGTAAACAAGTCAAACATGATTGCTCCCCTTGATTTTATTGTTTTGATTTTGTTGCTTGTGCTTTAAGATCTTTATAAAATAATATATGTAGATAGGCCATTTAAATTAAATGATACTGTCAGTCTTATAACGAAAGAGTACCCCCTCACCTGCATCCTTCTCACAGTTGATTGTAGCACCCTTGAGGCAAAAGCTTTGAGTGTTTTGAGTTTTTATTTTGCAATTTACATGCATAATACACTTTTGTCTCTTGATTTTTCAACCTGAGATACTGACTTTCTCCTATGTTTGGGTTTAATTTTCTATCATCTTCCCCTCTATTATCTCTTATGTGGTAATATCAAACTTTTAATATTAGCCTTCTGATTGAATATCGAATTAATGTCTTTCTTAATATGACTGTAAATATGTTTTATTGCTGGTTATGGACTCATGTACTATTTGTTTTCAGTTAGCTTTGGCTGCAGTAACAACTCCCAAAGTTCAGGTGCATGTAATAACATAATGTCTTGTTTATATCACCATTTCAGCAGACAGATGAGATAACATAGATGTTCTGATATGTTTGATTTCATGTCTTGCTTAGTGTTTGTCTGAAATTTTAAAAAGGCTTTGAAGTCAGTCAAGGATGTCTTGGATTTTCTGGCCTTTTGAAGCTCAGTTTATCTTTTTGGGGGGGAACAGAGGTAAGGTCTTAGTCTGTAATACAGGTTGGCCTCGAATTCACTGTGTAGCCCAGTCTGGCCTTGAATTTGTGGCAATCCTATCACAGCCTCTCTAGCTTTAGTATTACAGAGATGTGTCACAACACTGGACTGAGGATTCAGTTCATCTTAATTTTGTGTGTCTTTTCATTTTGAGATACAATTTCAGTAAATAGACATTCAGTAAATTGGCAGGAACTAAAAGCAGACAGAGCCGGACTCCACAAATAATATTTAAAACTTACGTGGCATGGATCACATTTGTGTACTATTCTTTGGTCAAAATAAGTTCTAAGGTTGAGGCCCAGATCATTTTAATAGGAAATATGCCCTGAATATGGGTAAGCAAAGCAAGGGTGGGAAAAAAATGAATAATTATACAATTATGAGTAATAACATCTACTTAATGGTATAACATTTTGGTTTTTAAGATTTATAATTGTCTCTTTTTGTTCTGACATTATCTTCTTGTTTCTATCACGAATTCTTCCCTCAATTTGCTCACGGAGGTTTAATATTCCTCTGTAGTCAAATACATCAGGAATGAATCCTACATTTTTCTTAATTATATATCTTCTAGAATGTTTCTTCATCATATCTAATCTGTACTTGTTGCTGTCTAAGCCTACTGTATAGATGTTATCCTAGGATCCTGGGATTCAGTCAGTCTTTCTTTTTCTTTCTGTCTGTCTTTTTTTTTTACTTTTATTAGTACATGTTTGTAGATACAATGATTACATTCACTATAGGGAATTGGTACATGTACATAATACACTCCAATTCTTTTTTTTTTCCCCTTTCCCTCTAACTACTGCCCCGACCCCGTCCTAAGAGTTTTCTTTCTTCTGAGAATTTTCTTTTCTTGCCTGGATTTTCCTGTTTTCTGGAGCCTATGTCTTTTTTTTTTAATTGTTACTTCTTATTTTGATGGAGTATCTTCTCCAGTAGATTACTCTTATTATTTGCCTGTTTTAGTACAGCATTTATTCTAGTAGCTTCCTGAAAAAGATAAATGTTTTGAGGGGTTTCTTGTTGTTGTTATTGTTGAAAATGAATGTTTCTGAGCCAGGCATAGTGGCACACTCCCAGCACTTGGGAGCCTGACACAACAGGATTGCTGTGAGTTCAAGGTCAGCCGAGGTTACATATTGAGCTTGCGGCCAGCCTTAACTATATAGTGAGACCCTATCTCAAAAAAATGAATAAACTAATAGAAAAAAATGAATGTTTCTGTCAGAGTCCTTGGCATTTACCATATACTCATTAAGTATTTGATGAATTAATACATTATTGAATAGATATAAATGATATAGTGTAATGGTAAAGAACTTTTCTACCTTAGTGTTTCATATCTTATCACTGTCACTTCCTAACTCTGTGACTTTAACAACCTTACTCTGTCTCAGTTTCTTAATGTGTGAAATGGGAATAATAGTCCTTGCCTTGGGGTCATTTTGAGTTTGTATTACATATATGGCAGGTATATTGTACCTGATATACACATAGTAAGCTACACAGTAAATATTAGTTTCTTTAATGATTCTTAAATCAATGAAGAATGATAATGTGACAAAGAAATTGAAGAAACCACTTAACTTTCCAAGGTCAGCTTTTCACTGGGAAGTGTCATATATGTACTATTTAATCTCTATTAAAATTTCTGTTTCAAATTACAAATAGTACTTTACGTAGTGTGTGTTTTAGCTTTCAAAGCACTTTTACTTATTACTATGTTGTGTTCACAGTAGTTTTCAAAGTTAGATATTATCCTCATTTTACATATAAGACTCAACATTCAGAGATGAATATTTACTTTCTAAAACACATACAGTTGCTAAGTGGAAATCAGATCTGGAAGAGTATTCATCTTTGAATATTCACCATTGCATTTGAGAATAAAAATAGAAGAAAAGGAGGAGTTGTTTTCAATTGGCTCTACTTGTATTACATTCTAATTTGCAAAATTTTCTTTTATAAAGCATTATCAAAAGTCAGATTCTCGTGTGACTTCTGCAGAGATCATTGGATGGACAGCAGTGATAGGGAAAGAGTGTTTAGTACACATATAATTTATACTAATTAACAAATTTTTGTAAAAATAAAAAGAAAACATGCAAAATGTACAGCTTCTACAATTTCATCCTTTAAAGTAGTACTGCTTCCCAGCTCTTCCCGTTTGTTACCCACACGGCTACCTTTACCCCAGCCTGCCAGAGCATTGTTTCCACGAACAGATGAAGCGCTTACACATTCATAGACTGAGACGTCAAGAATTCAGTTGGGTTCTTTCATCACTCCAAGCAGATTTCTGCCCTCTCAGCCATGACAACTTGGGCTGGGCTTTGAATACTGATGACAAACCCTTTTATTATTAATCAGGGATTTGTATGAATTAATTTAAGAACATAAGGGAGATAGGAAATTTAAAATCAGAATCAAACTTAACATCCTAAATAAAATAAATCAAATTGCTTCATGACATTTAAAGTTCTAATAAATAAAACAATTTGATAAAACTTCATGATTGACCAAAAGTATATAACCTCAAAATTAAATTTCTAGCTAAATACTTTTAGTCCCTTATTAGTAAAAAGACATTCCCTTATTATAAATTGGGTAACAATTTTAGTTTTAAAAGAACGTCTAGTTCTTTGTGTTTATCTGATATTTGAACTTGCAATATTTCCCTGCTGATTTTCTAGGATCCTTTGAGATGATATGTTTTTATTTTAAAATGTTGACTCAGGTTGAACCAAATTTGCTCTTCCCTTATGT